GAAGAATGCAGATCTATTTTTTACTTTTGCTTCCGGTTTTGTTTTATTTTATCGGCATCCAAAAAAGTAAAACCTAAAACAAAAATAACCCAAAACTTGTATTCAACTCATTTTAACTCCCATACATTTGCATCAGTACAAACCATCAGCGGTTCAAATGTTATAGGTCAAATGGGTCAATGGTGATACTTCCAATAATATAAATTTAAAAAAAAAATAAAAAAAATACAAAAAAATTAAACATATCTCTAATATTATACATTCATTACATAACAGGCTAATGGTTTCAATTGGTCAATTCAACCACTGGTCATACCCATCTTCTTGGGATTAGGATGCAACTAGCCCAAATCAAACATGGCCCAGCCCAGCCAAAGATTTTACAAATTACATAGATTGGACTGGTATTTTCTACAAGATAACCGGGTTGGTCCTAAAAAAAATACAAGGCCCAGCATTTCTCCTGTTGGGCCTGGATGGCTGGCTAACCCAACACCCGTATTTTAATCAATACTTAAGTAATGGCTCATAAATTGATCCCTTATAATTAGAGAAAATAGAATATATTCCCTTTTGCAATGCTTGGGATGTTTTTGCTTTCCTTGGCAAGGAATACAAGTCCATCCAGAAGTAATGTGTCCTTTTGAGGCTTGTCCCTCACATAATGACCCACATATCCCTAGATTTATTTGTAGCCCTTGCAAGAAAATTATCTTCACCATTGATCATAACAGAAAGTTCTAATTAGGGCTGTTAATGAGTCTGTGACAGGATCTGCTCCTCACAAATAGGCGCCTTACATGCACATCCACCATACATTGGAAACATCTCTCGTGAATATTCATTAATAAGTACGGGAGATGTTCCCCATGCATGGTAGGATGTGCGTGTGAAGCGCTAGATGTGAGGAGCAGATCCGGTCTCAGTGGGTCTGGGCTGTCAATCAGAACCGATCTGACATGGAATATTGAGGATTCAAAACCGATAAGGTCTGTAATTTTTAGACCCATAAACGAATTGATCAGTTCTTGAGACAATCAAGTCTGACCCTATGGACCCAATTATAATAAATAAATAAATGCATTTAATCGGGTCTGAATCAATTTGGGATTGGGTGAAATCGATTCTGAATTGATAATAATCGAGACACTATGTTAAGACTCAAATAGAAACCAGAACCAGCCCAATCAGTTCAGGTCGTCAGATCAGACCCAACCCATTGACAGCCCTAGTTCTAATACTATCAGACTTGCAAAGGGCTCAGTTCAAAACATTCCAAGGTCACAATTCATAACTTAATTTTGTAAAGCCAGAGTGGACCATGCAGTTGGGAAAATGGGAACCAGACAACCCTTCTATTTATTTGATTTACTCCGATTTAGAGGTTAGGCCACCCAATTTAAAAACCGAGAGAAATTGGTTACTGGACATCTTTCAGGTTGAATATCAGCTCTAACCATCAAAACATTGACTMATAAGAAAGTCCCCCACCTCACCCACCCACCTCAAACCCAAAATAAATAAATAAATAAATAAATAAAAAGACCTAAAACTCAGTTGGGGTTGATGGATCGAGATGGTTGGCCCAATCTAAGCTCCAACGCTCGTTCCAGAATGTTGGTTAACTTGGATTGATTTGAAGATGACTGTTCAATGAAAGCAGCTCGCTGAAATCAAGCAACAGGAAACGGCCATTAAGGATTGGAAATTTAGAACAAGTGAACAACCCACCTGGCCATCTCATCTCCCTATACTGACCCTAATAAAAAAATTTAAAAGATATAAGATGGAGCCATTTTTTCCCCACTGAAGTGTAAGGGAAGGAGTTGGCAGCCAAATAATGGAATAAAAGTCAAGTTGTTGAGGTGTATGTTTCGTCTTTCCGCCTCATTTTTATCAGAAACATCGATTGATCTGTCCTTGGAAATTCTTGGTACACCATATGACTTTTTTTTTTTTTTCATCTCTCTTAAACTTATCATAACTTTTTTAAAACCAAATAAAAATCCCATATTAATGATCTTATTTTATTATCCAAAATTCATCTTTTATGTTAGATTTTYGTTAAATCGTCCATTTACCATATATAAAAGTATCAGGCTCAAGTTTGATTCTAAATTTTGCAGGCTTAGTGTGGGCTTGGATTCGAGTAAGGGATAATTTTGTTATAAAAATATTTAATAAGTTTGATTGACCATTCAGGGTAATTTGATTATATAAGATATTTAAATTCTTATACCATTATCTAATGAAAATCTTAACTGAAGGTGAGTTTTAGACAACTAAACAATTTAAACTCGAGTTGGGATCTCCTACCAACTTGGTCTGACACCACACATCTCACTATGAAAGTGAAACCTACCAAAATTTTATTGGCAGGTGGTTCAGACTCCCAAAATTTTGAAAAGTTAGGGTGAGTGAATTTAATAAAAATGTAAAAGGCTAATGATGAATTTTAGATAATACAGCAAAATATTTTATTTTTATTTTTCTTGTTGATAGCCTAGAGGACACAAAACTGATCTAGACTGTTCATACAATGTGTTTCACCTTGGCTACATATATACACCATAACCAAGTAAGTGTTATTACCTTTTTTTCCTTTTAAGCTAGGTAAGGTGTCTCTGTCTCCCACTAAAAAGATCCACTATGAAAAGATGAAGATGATGATGTTTGTGTTACTCCAATACATATGCTCCAATCTCTCGGGCTTGATAAAAAGAAAAATTCGCTCGGGCCCACCAACATGTAACTCACGTGTACAACATTTGAGAATCTACAACATAATTTCGTGGTAGACTTCTCACTTCTCCCTTGGGAAAACCGGAAAAGCAAAGCAAAGCAGGCATTAAGGTGCAACTTCCGCGGGTTGGATCGGATTGAGGGTCAACTCAGGAACACCTCTAATATGTGTAAATTTTGGGTCAACCCATGACCAATACTAAGATGTAAGCTTTGGATTTGGGACTTGCCCAATATGAGGTCAAGTCGAGTATACTAATCAAGCCTGAGTTTAATCCAATACCAGTGTTTTTCAACCTTGATTGACCTAGATGATTAGGCCGTTTGGCTCAAGAATCATTCAAGCAATCGGTTCTATTTTACCATTAATTTGGTTCTTGGCCAAAAATCATTTATTTGATCAATAATTCATTGACCCGAGCAGTTGAATTGTCAACCTATTTGACTCATTCTATGTTTTTTTGTTGTTTTTTATTTTTTATTTCTTTTTTTTTTTTTAAGTTGGAATGGACCATCCATTTAACCTGGACAATAGAATTGTCAACCCAGAAACTGGTGGTCAAAATGGTTCTAGTTCCAGGTCAGTTTTTAAAACCTTGTCCAATACAAATCAGATTGATTTTGGGTTTCGGTTGGGTCAAGCTGAACCGGACTGATTGGTTAGGGTTGAAAGAATTTACAGTTATATTCTTGTACAGCCATCATTTATTGGGCTTTAGAACCCAATTTAAAAGTAAAATCGATTAAAAATATATATTCTTGTACAGCTATTATCCCTCCATGGACGTGTCCTCCCCCTTTTTGGATTGCAAAGCTTTTATGGGTGCTGATTACTTATTTGGTCTGGAAGATTTTTGGGGCACCCATTCCTCAAGTAAAGCAGAAAGGTATATTCAGCGTTTAAATTTTCTATTTTTTTTTCCTTTTATCATTACATGTTAGTTTTATTAATTTTATTTTCTGGTTTAATTTTCAGGAAAATGTATCATGGGATTCATTTGTAGGATCTCTTGAAAGCACTAATCTTTTTGGTTATGCTTGTTTGGCTCTTACCACAGATCTGAAAATTCGTCTAAAAGGGACTATGCTGAGCTAGAGATTCATAGATGCATTTAACCAACTGGGTGGCCACCAATCTGAAGACAATTTCTAAAGCTCAATGAAAGATTCATAGTAGCCAAAGGTAACGTAGGTCGTAATCCATTGTCAAAAGGACATAAAAGGAGAAAATAGTATTTTAAAATTTTTAAATTAATTTACAAAGCATATTTAAGTCTAGTGGCCTGAGTCAGCCACAATATATATTTAAGCCCATTTTAAAATCTCAGGGTAACGTTTTAAGTCAATTTCTGAAAATTCAGGGTATATTTTAAGTCTTTTGCCATAAATTAATTTAGGATGATGACGAACCAAACGCTACCTAAAAATCTTTTCGTTTAAAAATGTCAACAACTGGAGTTACTCCCTCATTTCCCACACATTTCAATTCTTCTACTGTGTTGTGTGTTCTATATGTAAAAGACAAAAGGGTTCATTAGTGGGGTTAGGAGTTTTTCACACCAACCCTCCTATATATGGTATGGAGGGAGCCTGTGGCTAATCCAGACCGCTCATCAAATAGGGGGACCCACTGGGTTTCCCATATTAACCCCACCTTGCATTGATTGTTTACTAAGTCATTTATCCATAAAATGGCAAGCTGTTTCAGGTTCCAAAATTTTTTCTATGAATACAGGGTGAGGAAAAGAAACTTGTAAGAATGATTCTTTTCTAATGCCTACACTGATCCCATGTTAGAATTGCCTTGTTTATTTGAATCTTTTCTAATGCTTCCATAGAATCCAAAAGGCAATATACTTTCAAGTGATATACATCAACTAATAACCATCACTTGCAGCTTCTTGCTCCTCTCAACATCTTACAATGAAATTGACATATAGTCAAGCTAAGCCCCACAGATTTATTAGTGGGGGAAGAAATTAAGGTCCTCCTGTCTATGCTTGAATTATGTGGTCCTAATTACTGAACGAATCACTAAAATAGGACCAGGTTTTTGGTTAATTGGCCAAGCTCTGGTCAGGTTATGGATCGATTGGCCCAACCCTTTTGTATTGTCTTTATGTTGAGCATACCACAATAATGGGGAGAAGAGACATATGGTTAGTCTTAGAATACGTAAGGATGCATTAGTTACTTATTTCAGTACCAACAATGCTAGTTCAGATGGAAAAAACTCAGCTGGAGTCTGCTGAATCTCTACAGCTCTTCCATCTCCCATGGAGGATTTCTACTTTCTAGTTTTCTAGCTAGCTCACTGAAAACTTGGGGGGCAAGAGGTGAGTGAGGCTAGAAGCTGGCTACATGACTAGTATGGCTGTCTGGGGCCCAGCCCAGCCTAGCCCAACAAGTGGTATATATACCGAGTGGATCAATCATCAGTCAAGATTCAAGACCTCCCCACTGAAGAAGATAACAGGCTCTAATCTGTAAGGCAACGTGGCCCCCGAAGACCTTTCCCTTTAGGCTTTATATTTATTCCAAAGTTTCCAACTGGAAACTGCACCCGACCTGCACTCGAAGCTCCCAAGAATTGACAAATGACAACCCTCAATGCTCCTCCTCTTCTCTCTCCTCCACTATATATCTATCTATCTATCAATCAGGTTTCTGCCTTATGGTGAGTGAAGCAGATATCATGTCGAATAACATGAATGCCCAGCCCTTCACGTTGGAGATCACAGTGCTTTCAGCACAAGGCCTTAAGAGCATCTCCTCTTTCCTCTTCTCACAACGCCTCCGACCCTTCATCATCCTCACCACCGACCTATCTAATCCAAGCAAGCCAGATTACGCTGGTACAGGACGCCATGTCTACTTTCAGACGAGGGTCGATCAGGGAGGAGGCAGCAACCCCACTTGGGGCGATAAGTTCCTACTCCCCATTGACCCCTCCTTCTTTTCCCGCAAGTACTGCTCCATCGACTTCCAAATCTTTACCAAGTGTCCACTCTTGAGAAAGACTCAACTGGGCTGGTGTCAGATTCCCGGCAGCGATTTAATCGAAGGGTTCCGCCCACCGGGCTCCGTCCGGCACCTCAGCTACCGTGTGCGGGATAGAGACGGATCAACAGGGGAAGGATATGTGAATGTGGCAGTAAGGTGGGTCGGCCCAGATTACAGTTCCATTCCAGCTGTTTGTCTCGAGAAACCTGCACCGATCAATGGTCTGAGTCATGTAACCTACTTCCCAGGTTCGGGTGCGTGTGGGATGGCCATTGGCATTCCGGTGAGTATGTTCTCCTCGCTTGGGGAGCATCCACCGACGTTTCAGAGGTCGCATGCCGGCGGTGACCCCGATTGCTGTGGAGAAGTTGGAAGGAAAGCGGTGGAGTAGGAATAGAGGTTGGCCGGTGCAGCAAAGTCAACACCACGCACGGCGTGCTTGGGCGGAAAAGCGGCGCATGCACGCGATTTTCTCTTTTCTTTTTGTTTCTCTCTCTTCCTTCCTTCCTGCAACGTATTTGTCGTCAAGCGTAATAAAGGCAGCGATTCCTAAAATGTAAATAATGCATTTTAATTTCCAGACTCCATTGATTTTGATTGAAATGTTTTAAGATTCGGATCGGAGTAAATATCGGAGTGCTCTCCGGGTTATCGGTTAATTGGGCAGTTTGTTCATCTAACCCGTCAAAACCATCATTTAAGCGAGACCTCTGAAGGTCACCAATTTTTAATTTTCACGGTTCAGTTTTCCAGTCCAGGGCTTGCTTAAAACATCTTTGAAATAAATGTTTTGAAAGCCAATCTGGAAGCTGCACTGTAGTTCAATGGTTCAACTGTCCAGTCCGGGTTAGATGAGTTTTGATCAACTCAAATCATCTGGGTGAAATTAGTATTAAAAGAATTGGCATTAGTGTCCCACAAAGTGCACCCCACACATGCACAAAGCCCATTTCAGCCGTGTATTGGAAACATCTCAGTATGAGACTGAGATGTGCATGTGAGGCGTGTCCTGTGGGGCGCCAATCTGATTTCGCCTTAAAACATCTTTGAAACAGATGTTTTAAAAACTCGGCTCTACTTAAAGTTAAAAGTCCATCGAGCCCAGTCTGCCATATGACTGGTGAGTTGACTCGTCAAGGAAAAATGAGGAAATCAAGGCCCTGTATGGTGTGCCTTTCTGCATGGGCTAACGACTGTTTAGAAGTTCAATAGCCCGTATTTTTGTCTTTTCCTATTTGGTTTGGAGAAGATTTAGCCACCGAAAGATTCTATCCCGAAAAGAACGAGAAATTCAATTCGAGCTTATTTTGGGAAGCTAAAAATGAAGCTGCTTGCCTTTTTTTTTCATCTCGTTTTCGTGTAGAAAGCCACGCTTCCAACCAAACGGTCTATAAGCTGTCAAAATCTTTATGTAAAAACCCACTACGTCTTTTGGTAATTAGATCTTTTAGATCTTTCAAAAAAGACTTGCCAAATGGCATCTAAGTTTTTGATTAGTTTGATTTGATAACAATTGAGCACATCCAGGGTCGAACATTTGTTGTAATGGAGTCCTATTACCTAAAGTAGATTGGAGAGGTCAATTATTTGGAACCTAAACCTAGGAGATTGTGATGGTGTTTGAAATCACGGCCATCTCGTGGATGGACCATTTCGATCCATGCCACATGATGATCATGGCGTTTGGTTTGGTGTGGATAGGAGTAGTCCACAATATGTTGTGGACCAGCCCCATCCACTACTCAAAATCTCCTCAATGCCTTTTTCTTGTGGTTGATTTCTTGGTTTGGCTTAAATGCCATTTTCTTAGAAATCGACACCACATAGGCACCACATCAAAGAAAGTGGTGCTTCAAACAACACTCTCTTGTTTGGCACCGTTTTTCCAGAAAAAAATAGTTACTCCAGACCACACCTTGAAAATTGGAAAAGTATGATATGGAGCAATGCCAAATTCAATGTTTCTTGAGAAAATGGTGCATTGCTACCGTGATGTGGCATCATCTTGGACGTTGGATAACATAGACCATGTTGAAAACGTTGYTGCCAACACTAATACCAAACAAAACTAGTGCTATTTTCTCAAAAAACAACCTATGTGACAGCACCGGTTCCAAACAAAAAATAAGCACCATTTCTCAAAAAACGAAGTTTACAACTCCACATGCCCAACATCATTTTTCTCAAAAAATAGTGTGATGTTCCCAACACCGATGCCAAACACCTACTTCAATTCCCAGCTATTATATAATTTCTTATTGATAAGATACATCACACCCCTCATTTTATCCTACAACATTTTATAATTGAAGCTCTTCTCTACCATTCGAAGCACTTTTCCACTACAAGGAGAAGAAGACGATTATCCTCCTATAACATTTTATTTCGTTTGATTAGTTTACATAAATAATTTGATGCTATGCTTGTCTTACTATAATTTATTATTTTGTTTGCTTAAATTTTAATTTTTTAATGTTTTTATTAATAAAATAATACTTTTTATTTTTTAAAATTATTTTATTACCATTTTGTGAAAATTAATATTTATTGGTTAATATTTACTTATTAATGCCTTCTTCCAATTTATTTATCATATAAATTGTAAAAATTAGACAATTATGTTATAGAATATCTCCTATGTTCCTATGACCATCATGGTAGTAAAAACCTGAGGCCCCAAGTGATTTTTTAACACATAGTATTAGTGAAAAAGACAAATATCACATCAAGTTGGTGCTTAATTAAGACACTAGCATGCTCAAAAATCACAAGGGGGTCTCGGTTTGTCCTGTGACCACATCTTTATTATTTGAATCAAGATTTTAAATAAAGAGCCCGTTTGGGAGGGCATCAGCTATGATTGATCTATGTTGAAGAAACAACTGAAATTATCTTTATTGGAAAATCGATTTATTAGCTCAATTAAAATATGTTAGAGCTAGCCGGAATAAGGGTAGATTAGTCATTTTATTTTTGTTAAGTTACGTGCTTATGTAGCAGTCTTAATAGACTTCCTGTCCCATACTTAAGTGGGAGCAGTTTAGTCTTTATACTACTAATTAGAGGCTAATCCATATTAAGGGTCGACTGATAGGGTTTAATCTATAAAGTTCGACTGTTCTCTTCATCTTCATCATCATCATCTTCTTCTTCATCTTCTTCTTCTTCTTCTTCTTCTTCTTCTTCTTCTTCTTCTCTTCTCCTGGTTCGAACTACTGTAACTACAAAACAAACATGGTATCAGAGCAGGACGTTGCTCTCTAAATCTCCTCACAGATTCGTGATCTGCTCCTTTCTATTCGTGACCTCATTTTTTTTTCTTCTTTTTGGGCTGAAAAATGGAGAACACAGATTCAACCTAGGTCTGAGAACATCTCAGTCCTTCTTCCTCTGCGTAGAACTTGTCTGTTTTTTCAAGAAAACAACTTCAGAAGTGGATGGTCGACTGAAGCACTCCATCAAAGGTTGGTTACCTCCTTTTTTTTTGTGTTGTTGGTATTTTTGGGTTGAAAGCCTTCAAAATCTACAGGGACTAATTAGAACCTAGAGAACTAGGTTGTTTGTAGCTTTGGTTCTTGGAAAAAGGTCCAAGAATAGGTTGTGTTTACAGTGGCCGAATGGTGTAAGGGTATGTTTGACCCTTTTATGTTGGTCTATAGTTGTTTTGAAGCCCTTGTTAGTCACAAGTGACCTGAATTGAATGACAGGTTACTGCAGTGGCAGTAGTTTATGTTTTCTTAGGACTTGTAGTGCCCTCTGAAAAAGTCAAACAGATCTGTACCATGTGTGACAACTATGGTTGTGTAGTGGTGCTTGTGTTGTTCAATCTCTATTAAGCAGCTTCAAGAGGGCTTGTATGCAGTCAGTGAGTTGCTGAATTAATGTCAATGTGATTCATGATTTTGTGAAATCGGTAGTGGTGTGAACAAGAACAAAAGTTTGTGTACCTATCAACTGTGTTTGGGGACTGCTGTAGTGTCTGGAACATCAAACTCCTGACAGCAGTACTTAGTTGGCTACCGGGAATTCAGATTAGAAGTAGCATTAGAAGAGCATCATGGCAGCAACTGGAGATGGTCGTAGCGATCAAAAACCTAGTGTGGTGATTCCCTCTGACTATTTGGGTGTGCATATGACTTCAATTAAACTTAATGGGGAGAACTATGTACCATGGGCCAAGTCAGTGGAAGTTTTTCTCAAGGCAAAAAGGAAAGTGAAGCATGTGAAGGAAGATAAACCGTTTGTTGGCTCTTCAGGGTTTGATGACTGGGAACAGGAAGATGCCCAAATAATGACATGGTTATGGAATAGCATGGAACCCAAAATAAATGCCAACTTTATATTCTTAGATACAACTAAGGACATATGGGAACATGCCAAGAAGCTTTATTCTGGGCAGGATAATACTATAAGGGTATATCAGCTCTATCAGGAGTATTTTGATCTGTAGCAAGGGAATAAAATCCTAGAATAGTACTATGCCAATATGAAGAACCTCAGAAATGAACTCAATGTCTATCATCCCCTTACTCCAGATGTTAAGGTTCAACAACAACAGAGGGAACAAATAGATGTCACTAGGTTCTTAGTGGGGTTGAAATCAGAATATGAATCAATTAGGGCCCAAATATTGAGGGGCTCTCTATTTCTACACTTGAGCAAGTGTTTGCACGGCTTCGTAGGATTTTTTTGGGACCTACAGAGAATCCCACACAGTCTGACAGATCAGCATTTGTGATAGCTAGAGGAGGTGGATGTGGTACTAAAGGGGGAGGACATGCCTCCCGAGGAGGTCATGGTGGTGGCCGTGACTCAGGGGGAGGCCGTGGTAAAGGAAAAAGTAACTCTACAAGGAAGTGTACCCATTGTGGCAGGGACGGACATTCGGTGAATTTTTGTTATGATCTCCATGGTCCGCCTTCTACATGGGCCAATCATGTAGTAGTTGGTGGGGTTGATGTCAGTGATAACCAACAGGCAGATCTAACTCCTTCCACATCTACATCTGTTTCTGGGAAGGAAATGGTGAGTGTACCGCATGATAAGTATGAGAGGTTCCTCTAGACTACTTCATAACATACTACTGCCACCCTTGCCCACTCAGGTATATCTTGTCTATCATCCAAACCCTCTCCCTGGATTATTGACTTTGGAGCCTCTGATCACATAATCGGGACTCCAGGTTTATTTTCTTCCCTCTCTGAAACTTCCACATCTCAAACTGTTACCCTTGTTAACAGTTCCTCTTCTCCCATCTGTGGTGTTGGTAATGTTGACACGACTTCTCTTTCTTTAGCATCTGTTATATATGTCCCTAAGTTTCCATTCAATCTTATGTCTGTTAGTAAATTAATCAAGACTCTTAATTGTTCTATTACATTTTTCCCTTCCTTTTGTGTTTTTTAGGATCTCAATACGGGGAAGAAGATTGGTGGGGGGCATGAAGCTAGTGGATTGTATTACCTTGACGGTGGTGGATCGTCAGTTGCACTTCAGATTTCAGTCACTCCTCTACAATGGCATTATCGAATAGGACATCCATCTCTCAAGGCACTCAAGATACTGGTTCCGTCTTTGAGTCATTTGTTGTCTTTATAGTGTGAATCATGTCAGTATGAAAAACACCGTCGTGTTCCCTTCAGTCTTAGAGTTGAAAGTCGTATGTTGAGTCMTTTTGCTTTGGTTCATTCAGATGTTTGGGGCCCAATTAAAATAGTCTTATAATGGTTATAAGTATTTTGTCACTTTTATTGATGATTGTTCAAGGATGACATGGATTTATTTAATGAAAGAAATAAGTGAATTATTTTCCATTTTTCAAAAATTTCATGCTGAAATACGTACACAATTTGGTGTTCCAATCAAAATTCTTCGTTTAGATAACGGTCGTGAATACTTTCTTACTTTCTTTTAACAATATTTAGAACAACATGGCATCATTCATCAAACTTCATGTGCATCCACTCTTCAACAAAATGGGGTGGTTGAACGAAAGAATCGTCATCTCCTTGAAATTGCTTGGTCTATTCTTCATCATTTGAGTATTCCTAAACGATTTTGGAGTGATACTGTACTTATTGCATGTTTCCTTATTAATCGGATGCCCTCCTTCATTCTTCATGGTCGATCTCCCTTCTCTATTTTGTTTCCCACCTTGTCTCCCTTTCCATTAGCACCTCGTATCTTTGATTGTGTGTGCTTTGTTCACAATCTGATTCTTAGAATAGACAAGCTGGATGCGTGCTCTATTAAGTGTGTCTTTTTTTGCTATTCTTTGACTCAAAAAATGTAGAAGTGTTACAATCCCATTACTCATAAGTGTTATTTCTGTCCTGATGTCACCTTTTTTGAGTCGGCCCCCTTCTTCTCGGGACCTGAAGTATCTGTGTCTCCACCTTTGCTTCCTCTTCCTCTTCCAGTCAGTGATCCCGTTCCGGGTGTTCCAGTTGGGGTTGACCATTCACCTCCTCCAGTGCAGATCCCTACCGAACGACCATCAATCTGGCACATGTATACTCATCGACAGACACCGGCTCCTCCAGCTTCTGCCTTGTCTGCGGATCCTGTTGTTGCTCCTATCCCTGAACCTTCAGGACTTGATCTTCCCATTGTTTTACGAAAAGGTAAACATAGTTGTACCCTCCATCACATTTCTAATTTTGTTTCAGTATCTCGCCTTTCCACTTCACATCGCTAGTTTGTTTCACTATTGTCATCTATTTCTATACCTAAGAATGTCCGAGAGGCTTTTAGCTCACCTGTGTGGCGGCAAGCAATGGAGAAGGAACTCTCTGCCCTTCAGCATATTCACACGTGGGAGCTAACTACTCTTCCACCTGGTAAACATGTTGTGGGTTGTAAATGAGTGTATACTGTTAAATACTTGCTAGATGGTAGTGTGGAGCATCTGATGGCTAGACTTGTTGCTAAAGGTTATTCATAGTTGTATGAAGTGAACTATATGGAGACCTTCTCTCTAGTGGCTAAGATTGGCTCTGTCCGTGTCTTAATTTCCCTAGCAGTTATGTATGATTGGCCATTGTTTCAACTTGACATTAAAAATGCCTTCATAGTTACCTTATGGAGGAGGTATATATGGAGCAACCACCTGGGTTTGTTGCTCAGGGGGAGGCTGGTAAGGTGTGCAGACTGAAAAAGGCAATTTATGGGTTGAAACAATCGCCTCGTGCTTGGTTTGGAAAGTTTAGTAAAGTAGTGAAGAATTTTGGAATGAAACAATGCCAGGTTGATCACTCAGTGTTCAGCTATGACTCAGAAGCTGGAAAGATTTTATTAGTGGTCTATGTGGATGATATTGTCATAACTGGTAGTGACAAATTGGGAATCGATAAACTAAAGGTCTTTTTGCAAAATCATTTTCAAACAAAAGACCTTGGGACATTGAAGTATTTCTTGGGTATAGAAGTTGCTAGATCAAGACAARGTGTAAACCTGTGCCAAAGAAAATATGTTCTTGATCTGCTAGATGAAACAGGACTGTTAGGTGCAAAACCGGCTGAAACTCCCATGGAGCCAAATGCTAAGTTGAGCAATGATACAGGGGAAATATTTGATGATCCTGGAAGGTATACACGGCTAGTGGGGAAGCTGAACTATTTAACTATCACGAGACCAGACATCTCCTTTGAAGTTAGTGTGGTGAACGCAGAACCTTCGGATACTTCACTGGGATGCAGTTCTTAGAATTGTAAGGTACCTGAAGGGAGCTCTAGGCCGTGGGTTATTGTACAAACTAGGAGGAAAACTTGAAGTAATTGGGTATACAGATGCAGATTGGGCAAGCTCTGTGTCTAATAGAAAATCTAGTACAGGTTACTGCACATTTCTTAGAGGAAATCTTGTGACATAGAAGAGTAAGAAGCAGACGGTTGTGGCAAGGAGCAGTGTTGAAGCCAAATACAGAGCCATGGCACACACTACGTGTGAATTAGTATGATTGAGGAATCTCCTACAAGAAATCAGGTTCTCCATGGATAGACCTATGAAATTGTACTGTGACAATCAAGCTACACTCCACATCTCATCCAACCTTGTTTTTCATGAGAGAACAAARCACATAGAGATTGATTGCCACTTTGTGAGGGAGAAAGTCCTTATTGGAGAGATAAGCACAGAACATGTAAGCTCAGGTGATCAGTAGGCAGATTTGTTTAAAAAAGGCTTAAGCTTAGGGAGAGTGAATTATATATGTAACAACCTGGGAGTATATGACATGTATTCTCCAATTTGAGGGGGAGTGTTAGAACTAGCTGAATAAGGGTAGATTAGTCATTTTATTTCTGTTAAGTTATGTGCTTATGTGGCAATCTTAATAGAGACTTCCTGTCCCATACTTAATGGGGGCAGTTTAGTCTTTATACTACTAATTAGAAGCTAATCCATATTAAAGGTCAACTGATAGGGTTTAATCTATCAAGTTCGATTGTTCTCTTCATCTTCTTCTTCTTCTTCTTCTTCTCTTCTCCTGGTTCGAACTATTATAGCTACATAACAAACAAAATATATTCTGGTTTGCTGGGTTTTTAACCAAATATAGCTTCTAGGCTTTTAGTATGAGGCCCACCTTATAGAGCCAAAAGCCGCTGTATGGAAGCCCTCTCAATCGGGTACAAAATTTTAGTCAACAATTTCTTCTCCGATGGTCTCGCAACTGATTGGCAGGATCAAAGGTGAAGGAGAAGAGATCCTAAAGAGAACAGATTAATTGACAATTTGTCATTAACACTTCTGAGAAGCAAAGATCAGACTGAAATGTGCACATATAGAAAGGTGATTGAAGTGGAGAGGTGCATCTGATGTGCTGTGTAATAGACTTAATCAAAAAAGATAAAAAAGAAAATTTCATAAGACGTCTATATAAAAAGGGCAATGTTTATGGATCAAAGAGCTGGTAAATCAAAAGGCATGTCCAAAAAAAATGTAGCTGATACAAACAAGTGGTAAAATTAAATGTTTGTAGTGTATGTTTCTAATTATCCTCCTTTACTTGATTCTGGTGGACTGGTGGTATCTAATATCCCTCTTCCTCCTGGTATCAATCCTCAAAAATGAGATGCAGATTTATGAGATGAAGCTTTTTCCTACTGCTATTCAACCTTAGGCATCTTAAACACTTTCAATTAATTTTAGGGAAGAGTAACGGAATTTCATTAAATGAGAGAAAGTACAGGAGATGTACAAGACACGGGAAACCCCCAGGGATTACACAGGAAGCAGTGATAATATAGGTATTTCTCAACCTATTTCTTCTTTATTGACGTGCTAAGCTTCTTGTGATCTTTATCTTATTTTAGTGCGTAAGGTAAGCATCATTCTTCTACATTACATTGTATTTTCCAGTATGTTATAATGACAGATGCCCCTTTTTACACATGGAAAAAGGCAAACAGGCAATGCAAATAACTCTGCATATACAGTGATAAAAGTACAAGACTAGGCTTATTGTGAAAGAATGTACTCAGAAAACAGTGTTATCAGGATATTTCTCTTTGATTGCCAAGATAAACTCAATAGGGATTTTCTTTTACATTATTGACCATTAGTCATGCCATTTTACTGGTTCGATGTAGAGAATATATTCCTCAATGGTTATTTGCAAGAAAGTCTACAAGATTTTACCACTTAGATTTTACACTAAAATGGAAAAAGTTGGCAAAACTAAAACGGAAAAAAAAAAATATTTTTATGGTTTAAACAATTTCCTTAAGCCCAGTTAAATCATTTTAGAGGCACCTTGCAATGGATTGGGTTTCTTGAGACTCAATCTAACCGTACACTATTCACTAAGAGAGAAAGTGCACTATTGACAGCTTTCATTATTTATAATGATGATATGGTCTATAAGAGATAACAACTACCCACACTTATCAAAAAAAAAACAATAACAATAACAAAAAGAAAACACCACAAAGAAAAAGATTTTTTTAGTTCATTTTGCTATATATATATAGTGGGACAGGAGTCGCCTAATCTAAGTAAAAAGTTAGGATTCAAGCCTATATTTGTGTTTGACCAAACATGATATCTTCCTTTTACCAAAAATAAATAAATAAATAAAATCTTACATGCAATGTTAGGCTTATTAGTTAATTCATAGTAAATCCATGCAAAATGCTATATTCCACATAAAAACCTTTACTGATGCTGATTATACCAAATTAATTAATAAAAGTCAAAGACAACCAAACAAAAATAATAGACTCTTCGTATCTCTCTCTCTCTCTCGATTCTTACATGAACAAGTATTTTAAGTGGAAGGCTGATCTCAAGGATATTCTGTACTTTTTGTTTGGTGGCTAAGACTTGACATAATTAAGAAACTTAAAAGGAAATAACGGGATTATTAGACACAACACGGATTTCCACTCTAAAATAATGATTTAGAGCATTAAAAAATTTCTGATAGATATAAAAATACCTCTTTTGGATTTACAATATAATACAGGACGACAGGACGACAGTTCCCAATGGCCATTATCTACGCTACCAAGTTACTTGCCTAATTTCGGAGGTGGACGCTTGAATTTTCTTCTTAATAAACTTGAAACTTCTCTTGCCCTTTCCAGTCCAGCGGAATGACCCACTTCTTTTAAGTAAATCAGATACAAGAGGTGATACTGAAATTGAATCCTTTGATGCACCATCGTATTCTACAGACAAGCAAGAAATAAAATAAGGTGAAATGAAAAACTTGGTTGTGATAACCAACAAAAAAAATGCCATTAATTCTGAAATTTCTTTATGGCTCTAAAATAGCAGAATGGCAACTGGTTCCCAACCCTTTGTACATTTCACTTCTGGGCACAAAATGTTAAGCACTGTTAAGGTTTCCGTCTGTGCAGTTTCATAGTTCAGACCGGGTTTAATGCACTCACTTTTGTCAAATAAAAACCTAATTCTCAAGTCTGATCTGCATTCCCTACAGATAACACTGGTCGCTAGTCATCTCCACTAAGGACATGCAACAAATTATATTCATCTCGACAGGAATTGATGCTTTCCAACAGGTTGAGAAGGTATTCCAGCTCAGTGAGGAATGACTCGACGGGAATTGATCCTTTGATCATTTCCATGGGATTGACCACATGAACTGAAAAATGACTCGTGTCCCAAACAGAAACAATAAGCAACAAGCACAAATAGAACTAAACACAGGACAAACCAAACACCAAAGGATAAATAAACCTACAGAAACCAAAATAAAAGAAAAGGTGGAAGGCCAAATGAACCAACCCTCTAGGAGGACAGTCACACCTACTATCCACATCAGAAGGGCAATCCATCTTTGAAAGATCATGAAGCCAAGAAGGGAAAAATACACCCAGGTTGCAGAAGATACTAACCCTACTAAACCATATTATCAACCCAAAAAAAATCCTAACCTATAATCAGTGGCAAACCCAGTAACTTGTCAGTGGGTGCATCCAAAACTAAAGTAATAAAAACTCAAAAAAAGAAAAAAAACACCAATATATAAACATTTATTATTAACCATCCCATTTTCTCACTTTTCTTTAAGCTTTTTTTATTGTTTTCCTTCTCTCTCTCTCTCTCTCTCTCTCCCCTTTGTTGCGTTGGTCACAACAGACTTTGGATTGCTTTTACACTAAGCCAACTTTTGTTAACCTTTTGATCAAATTGATTATTTTATTATAATGTCTATCAACTTTTAAAAATCACAAGAGATAACTCATGCATGGAGTTTGGTAGCTTTACTTTTAGGGGGTCAAATCTTTTTATATATTTCAAATTGACCCCACAACTTTTATTTGAGTGGGGTCAACTTTGAAAAAAGAATTTAAAACTAACATAAATTGTGAATAATTCCTTGAGGACTTTAGATGCCATGTTGGTTCAATTGCTCAACCTCATGACAATGTAGCTCTGCCTATGCCTATAATGGCCCTAAAGATAAAATTAAGCACATGAAACTAAACAAATGAACTAGTGTTTTAGAAATGAAAATCAGAAATATAATGGAAATAGTGGAACCAATCAAAGAATGATAGTTACCTGAAGACTTAGGAAGCTGATATTGTTTTTTGAGAAACTTAGATGCTTCTCTGTCCTTCTTATGGCATAACACTCGAATTAAAGTGTGAGCATCTTCAATAGACCTGCTGCCAGGACTCCACTGATCCATTCTAGTGGAAATTTGTTCACTTGCAGTCATTAGCATTCCTATTACAGTTTCTGTCTGCACAAATAAAGGCAATTTAACCTCAATTTCATTTATTCAATCAACTGGATCTTTTTTCATAGATTATTCAATCAAGTGGAATTACTGATAAACTATTACTTGCCAAACCTGAAGGGAAAACAAATTTATGATCTGTGATGCCAATCTTGCTTCTTGCTCAACAACAGCACGAGGAAGACCTTCCCCATTTGCTACAAAAAAATCCTACAAAATAAGGAACCAGAATTATGTTCGTCAACATTACAAAAATTCTCACACAACCACAGAGCATTTACTGTGACATAAACTGTGTATCCCATAACCTTTGTTTTGTTTACTTAGCAGGCCATGGTTGTTCAAGATTTTAGCCAATCACAATAGAACAAAATATACAACAAAATAGCAACATGCACATGGACAGAGCCAATGGGAAGGGGTCTCTCCCTGCTGACCAATGCTCCACACCCTCCAAAATATTTTTTTTTTCCTTAAAATACTAAAATGTACACTTTGGAACCTCTTGTTTTTTGCTTTGTGCTGGTTGGCTGTAAGTAAACAAACTCCCCCATTTTTGAAAGAAGGGAAGATCATAACATGCACAAGAAGTGGCTTGATAGGTGTTAAAATTAAATAACTTCTAATATTACTTTTGTTGGACAATGTATGCCGTCAGAATCCAATATGTGATGTAAACTTCTTTTGTTATGAATAAAAGTTCAGTTACATGTGTTATTGGGTGTCCATGTGTGCATTAGCCCTAGATCTGCATTTTAGGACTACGATAATCATTATAGTGATTACAGACAGTCATTGTCAATATGTAGACTAATTATTCTCAACCAGTGAGAAGACTCAGGCACTCTATTCTAACAAGGTTGACACACTTATCTGCCTTAAGGGAAGGAGTGGTTTGTCTCACCCACTAGAGTTAGACCCGAGGTATGAGTATTGGTATTTGTGGATATCTATAAAAAAAAAAGTATTGGTATTTGTGGAACACTGAACTGGACTTCCAGATAACTCTTGGACTTATGATTAGTGGAGAATGTGGATAGTTGGAGCATATTAGAATGGCATTGTAGCAAGTGATCATTGTGATAGGATCTACCACAATCAAGTGTGGGGCTTGTTGAGTGGCCCGGTTTTATTTTAGTTTGTTTTTATTTAGTTAGGAAGTTGTTGGGCCTAGGCCCATTAGTTTATATTTTTTAAAGTTGTGACTGTTCAGTTTTAGTAGCCACCCTACTAAGGGCATCCTTGTAATATCTCATCTTTAAGTTAATTATAAATATAATGAAAGGTAGGCGGCTAGGGTTAACTTTCTCACAATCCTAGTTGACCTCCTCTTTTCTTCTTCTTCTTCCTTCTCTACTGCTGAAATCTTGACCTTCCCCCTCTTTCTCTCACAAGAAGCTTGACTGAATCAGCAAATAGTGATTTCTACTTGGTATCAGAGCAGGCCGAAGGTTCTTGAAGTTGTTCTCTCATGCAGCCCTAGATCGGCCGACTGCATGRTGATTTAAGAGGCTGATCGAAGCTCTCAGGTAAGCCCAGTTTTTGGATTTTCTTGATGGATCTGTGTGCCCTGTAGCTGGTCTAGGGTTTCCCATCAAAATCAGGAAAAACTGGAGAAAGGGGAAGAGTCCTGTTTTTGTTGGACTCTTCATTTTTGACCTAGGAAGTGGCGCCCTAATTTTTTAGGGTTCCGTGGAGTTTTTTGTAAGGGGCGGTTCAAGTCCTGCCTGGTTTGGAGGCTTCTAGAGAGGGCAGCTGCCTCTTCTCTCTCTTCTCCCATCCCATAGAAAAGGAATCTTTTGTGGAAAGAAAGTCCAGGACACCAAGAAAGTGTTGTTGGTTCCAGAAGGTGCTTTGTTTGATCTTGCTGCAAGTTTTAGTTATTTTCTTTACCTTTTTTGAGAAGTATGGAGGGCCATAGAGTTGAAAATAAGCCCGGGAGTGAAATGGGACCAATGGGAGGAGGTGCTAGAGACCCCTTCGGAGCTGGGACCATTACTACAGTTAGGTTGGATGGTGCAAATTACTTGGAATGGTCACAATCTGCAAAGATGGCCATTGGTGCTCGTGGGAAATTAGGGTACATCACTGGTGAAGAGGTGAAACCCAAAACTAGCAACTCCCGATGGGTGCAGGAGAATTATATGGTAATGACTTGGT